AATATCCAAGCTGATATCCAGTTAGTGGAAGGGGCAACACCTGTGAGTAGCAAATGTTATAGGGTACCGATGCAATAAAGCTACAGTTTGACAAAGAAACGAAATAGCAGACTTCGAGTCCAGAGTCTTTGTAGGCAGGCTGGAATGGAGACTCGATCAGTAGTATTCCAACAACTCTGCATGAAACTTTTTTCTTCCAACAGTAGATATATTCGCATCTCTAATAAATCCCCAAGTCCCTCGATACGTGGTTTGGCGGGCAGACCCAGAGGCTATAGCAAGGGATGCCTTCTCGATGAGTTGGACCAACGAACACGGATATCTGTTTCCGCCCTTTTGTCTCTTGGGGTGGGCATTACGGAAGGTGGCAGCAGACAAAGCAACAGCTCAATTGTCATAGCTCCAACATGGACCACCCAAACGTGGTATCCGAGGTTCCTCTACTAGCAATGACAAATCCTTATTCTACCCGTAAGTCAGACACTCACTCACTCACTCAACCCCACTCAGGGGAACCCCATCCTCTGATGGACTCACTGCACCTAGCGGCTTGGATTGTCTCAGGAAAAGATATCGAAAGAAGGGGTATCCGGAAGATGTTACACAAGTCTTGTTGGACAGCAACAGAGGATCAACCCATGACCAATATTAGTCAGCCTGGCGCATCTGGAGTAGCTGGTGTGGTGAACGGGGACTAGATCCTGTTTCAGCAGATGTAAGATTTGTGCTAGTATTCCTTGTTAGCCGAGAGAATCAAGGTTTGAGTTATAGAACTCTGGGTGTTTACAGGTAAGATTTTGATGGAAGTAGGACAAAACAAGGATATGTGCTCTCTGATGAAAGGTTTCTATAATAGAAATCCACCCCGTCCCCGATATGTTGCGACATGGGAGGTGGATCCGGTGATTGTCTACCTTAGAGATTTGCCAGATTGGGAAAGACTTACTTTGAAGATGCTGACCTTTAAAGTAGTGCTACTTCTTAGTTTAGTGACTGCTGGGAGAGTATCATCAATGGCTCATATGAACATTGATTCTCTATGGGTTTCTAATAGTTCTCTCCAGTTTATACCGGCAAAATTGGCTAAAACACAACAGATCAGCTTATAACATTAAGCAGGTGACTGTTACAGATTTTATCGACCAACGCATTTGTCCTGTTTTAAAGGGGCGTCTCCCAGTATCTTAAGGCTACAAGATCGAAGGCGAGACCCAGGGATGTAAGACTAGACAGGCTAAACGATACCCTCATGACCATGAGGCACCATTCACGATCACGCTCGAGGTCTTCTTCTCATAGACGGGGTAGACGGTCTCAACGAGACTCCTCTCTACGAGATAGTCGAGGTAGGCAAGAATCACCCCCTAGAGGCTCATCTAACTCATCAGATAGCGACCGGAGGCCGAGGTCTCGTAGACGATATGTATCAGAGGATGACGAAATGTCGATCATGGCAGAGCCTGAGGAAGGGGAGTTTGAAACTCCCAAAGATCAACAGCCAGATAAGCCAGCATACTGTATGCACTCAGGAACCCTCACCTTAAGCTTGAGGGAATTCCCTATAGTACCGAGGTACTGGAATGGTGGAAAGTGCAACACACCAACGTTTTGACCGATGAACAGAAGAAGGAGATGTTAAGGCCCCGGATATGCCTAAGCCTTTCAGGGCAACTATCCAAGAAGTTAATTATGAGCAGCTGGAATAACTGAAATGCACTGGGAGTGAGAAACTTGTCATGAACTAGATTTCGAGGGTCAGGCAAACACTTTCGTGTACTGTATGTAGACCAACCATGTACTGTAGCCACCACCATAGTTCCACCAACAAAAACACCAATCAGCCCACTCTCACAGTGAGAATCTAGGGCATGGGCGTCTGATGGTCCTGCATCTTCCAGGGCGGGAAATGATTCTTACCTCCAGAGGACCAGTATAATCCAGATTATACTGCAGGTAAGAACCTTTGCATAATCTTAAATTATACTGTGTCCTCTTTCGGTTTCGAATCATTAGGCGACTTCAAAGCTTTCCACTATAACCGAACTCAGAATAGTATTCGATAAGGCTTAGGCTGCCATAGGTCTATGATAAAACTTACTGAAAGTAGCCATGAAAACAGATGTTGGTCTCTAAATTGCTAGGTATCTTCAAAGAAGAATCTGTCAATGTTAGGACCGAAATGTTAGGATTTAAATACTGTAAATGATTGTTCATCTCAAAATCGTACTAGAAAACTGAAAGAAAACTTGAAGGACAAAGTTATAGTGAAACTTGCTGATCATCGGATAGGGAATTTCATATATAGCTCTAGTGTAATATCAAGAATATGCCAAGTTACAACTTCACGAAGATGCATTTACGAACAAGATATCAAGATAAGATGGGCTGCCCATCTTAGATCTGAAATTATGCAGCTCCCAAAAACCAAAATCCCAAATCCTGCAACAGTCCACAATTTTAAAGAAATGCCAGATAGGAACTCAACTAAATCCATATTTAGCAATAGCCTGTGATGGGACAACAACGATGCAACTGTTTAAAATGGGAAAGAAACTTTGCATGCAACAGTTGGTCACTCATACAGAATGTGTTGCAAGAGGAACAAGCCCAATTCCAATACCAAAGAATATTGAAAGGAAAAAAATAGATGAAAATTTGTAGGCAATGAAAAAGAAATACCACCTTTTAGAATGAGTATCAATAGAACCCAATTTCTCAACCAAACAGGACCATCAACTACTACTACTACTACTGATGCTTCTACTGTGGAATCTAATTCAACATCAACCACTGAAAAATGAGATGAATGTAAAATACTCTATTGGTTCTAGAAACTAAATGAAGGCAACACACCTTTACATGCTAGATTTATGAGCAAGTGCATCAATGACCCCTTATCAATTCAAAGGATCTGCTACATGGATCCAATATCTAAATCCCCAACCAACAATGATGTAGTCAGAGAATCAATGATTCGAACTATGCATGTCACTAAAGAAACTGGCCAAGATTACACAATTGTGACATATGACTTGGCAGTTGCGTAGAAGGCTTATTCAATCCAAGCTATTCAAAAACCAATATTTGATAAAGCTTTAATGCTATTGGGTAATTTCCACAAAGAATTGGCTTTGTTTTATGATGGGCCCCTAGTCGCTGTTAATGTCAAACGAATTAGCAAAAATGCCGCCCTGTGTGTTAAGCTTTCAGTTGCCCCTGATACGATGAAACTCAACGATAGTACATGTGGAAATGGAGATGTGACAAGAATGTGACATGAAAACTTTGATCTCATTGTGTCAGGCAATGGTTCACAATATTATAAACAAAAGATCTTCGCCCTAACAAACCAAATGAAACAGTTCGTGTTCAATTCATCATCCAGCAAAGCAACTATCCACATTCCTACACAGTATATGCCGAAGGAAGCGACAACCGGTGCAATTCACAACAGGACACCTTCCCTGATTACGATATCCAACCGCTACCGTCCACCTTGCAACAAAGCTAATACTGGTATGATAACCACAAGCAGTGGTAGAATTTCACTTCAACCCCCAATATTCGACTCATGGACTGTAGATATGTAATATGAACATTATAAAACTCATTATTGACATTGATTACAGTACTTTTAAATTGAGTTTGTGATTCCTTCTTGGAATTGGATCCTAAAGCTGTGATCTAAAGCAACCAGTTTTTGTTTTCTTATTGCCTAGTTTATAGTGAAGCATTTAAAGTTATATAATAGTACAATTAATATTTAAGATTATTCATAATATCATAATTCACAGATAGTAATTCAATCTAGAAAAAGGAGGATGTACATAATTTATTATTATGCCGCCCTCTATAGTCCAATCATCTCATACTGCCTCAGAATCCATTGGTTGTTGTCATGTAGAAGAATACACGAGTGAAGGGATTATCCTCCAGAAGAAGACATCTAACAAATTACTGTAATGCCAGTTGACTATGAATATTGTTATAATGTTGAATTATCGTCTGAAGACATGCATTGGCATGTACATACTGCTTGATTGCTACCTCTCAGTAAGACTAAAGTAGTTAAAACAATTTAAAAATTTAAATTAAAAAAAATACGTATTAAACATAAATCAAAGTGTTGTTGATATGCTGCACTGCCATTTGTTTGAAACTTATTAGGGAGCCATGTAAATGTGGCGAGACAGAGATAGCACCCTCTAGAAATTTGAGGTGAATGGCTGTCTAGTCATGAAAAAATAACTTGTGTGTTGTTTGTTTTTCGATTGAGTTTTGAGACTTAAGCCTTGTTTGCACTGGATTTTAAAAATGGTAAATTTAACCAGGGTAACTTTAACCAAAGTCATGGGTACATTTCACCATTGTTCGCACATGGATTATTCACGCGGTTAGTTTTACCATAGTTTTACCAAGATTTAACCTTGTGTATAAAAAATATTATTGAGGACGCTAGTTTGTGACTTCCGGTTTTGTTCGAGCGGTGTCAATATGGAAGAAGTTTTAACCGTGTTGCACGTTCGGATTGGACTTCTTGACCAGCGTGGTTAGTTTGACCGAGTTTTACTGGGCAGGCTGAGGTCGGTAAAATTAACCATTCGGCTTGGTTAATTTAACCCTGAGGGAATTGTAACCGACATTCGAATTGGATTTTTTTTGGTCAATTTAGCCAGTGACTCGGTTAATTTGACCAAATTAAGTCCAGTGCGATAGGGGCTTTTGATTGCAGTTTTTCACGCTACAGTCTATTCAGTACAGTATTAGGTTTCAGTAAATGCCCTTGTATCTAATTCAAATGTTTTCTTTTTTAACGCAAAATCTCTGTTGAAAATGCCAAAAACAAAAATGCAAATTCAACATTTTCTTATGAAATATACCTTACATGTAAGGTTTTATTATTCATGTTAAAATATTAAATGTATATATTTTTTACACAAGCCTTATATATCTAGTCCATTTTAAGTATTTCAACAAAGTGAAATTTGAGTATCACCATTAAGATTAGGGACCCCACTTTGCAGTACTTATTTTTCACTACTGAGCTCAGAGTTCTGACTTACCAATATAATCATAATTAATAGTACTACTAACTTTATGACAGGCATTTTAACTCTAACCCTCCTGTTGTTAACTATTTTGTTGTGACTTTGGTGTAAACAGCCAATCTTCAACAATGACATAATCTAGGAAACCAGGAGGGGCGTCATCTAAGACTTGTAGAGCAGTGCTGATACGATTCAAGATTGGTTTTCCCTGAAATAAAAAAAAATATATCTGTTATATGTATGTTAGATAAACTAGAGACTGACCTGGAAAAAATAATGACACCCTGGAAAAATTAGGCTGCCCTGGAGTTCATATAATACTGTACATCTGACTAATAGCAAAGGCACTGCTGCATATTCAATTGGCTGAGTAACATCATTGCAATACTGTATAATACTAATTATCAACATCATTATTATATTTTAAGTGATTTTTAAGAAATTATAAATACCTTGATGTTAAAAGATGTATTGAGCAGAATTTCGCTCCCACCTGTCCTCTTACCAACCTCATGCAGTAGCGAATGGTACCACGGTTCATCCTCTTTTGATACAGTTTGATATCTAAAAATGAAATTATATTTCAGACTTATAATTACTTATGTACAATTTTATCTTTCTCATGGGAGCATAGAAATATAGATTAGGTTCAAGATGAGGCAAATAGAGGCAGAATAATCCAGAACTCGCATTGTGATGAATTGCGTATGGGTGTGGTCTATGACTGCCTAGCCGCCATACTGTAGCTTCACGTTCACATCATTCCACAATGACGGGGGCTAAAATGAACTATAGCATCGGGGTAACCCCTACTCTTCAGAAAAAAGTAATGGGGTTTCGAAAATGTACTTGAGCAAGATATTAATGAATCTCAATTTTGAGTCATTACTTAAGAAAACTTGGTTCTACCAACCAAACCGCGCCAATGTTAAGACTGTAGTTAGCGCCGCCCCTTGCCTTACCGCTCGGCCACTCGATGCCTCAGAAGTTGAATAAAGAGGATGGATGAACTTGGGAAGGTGTGCTTTGGGAAGGATGTGAAACACAAAAAACTTACCTTGCTGTTCCATCATAATGGGCGATGGCAGGAAATTGTTTCTGCGACTCTTCAGTTAGAAGTGGAGAAAAGGACATATATGGTGAGGAAGGTGCCCATTGTTTATAGTTCCCATCCTTATTGAGACGCAGGGTTGAAGACATTGTCCAGTCACAAAGTCCATAGACATTGGGCTTCAAAGTGTTATCTGAATTTTTGAAAAGGTACAAAAAACATCAATAAAACCATTAAAAATATAGGATGCAAATGAATTATTTAAAAAAAAAAACAATATTGGTAGGGAAATATGCTTTAATCGCAATAAATTTAACTTACTCTTCTGATAAAATTCAGTGACAAACTTTTCACAGTCACCCATTACTATTTTAGAGGCAAATTCCTCCGTAACTGAAGGGCAGAGGGGGCGGAACCATTCACGACTCTTCAGAGTATTGACACGTTCCCTCACATCAGCTTTATCTGGAAATGCTATTACTGATCGGTGCCCAAGAGCCCTCGGTCCAAACTCAAAAAAGAGACAAAGAAGATACATTATTAAATATAACACAATAAAAAATTAAACAACTAAATTGTATTTAGTATCTTAGCTTTAAATCCAGATGGGACAAAACACTTATCTATAATTAAAATACATCACTAATGGTGGCATTTCTCCTATTAAAGCCTGCCGCAAATGACAGCTTTCTGCGTACAACAAAATTAATTCTTGCGGCATTTGACCTGAGCACACGGCTCTCATGTGTGGTTGTATTTTGAAAGATTTTTGGCATTTGTGGTGCTCACGCCAAATATTTATTGTTTTTGATAATTTTTTTTTAGAAGTTTTTAATACAAAAAACCACTTAAATTTGACAGGTCTTACCTCTTGTCGTCCTCTGACAAGTCCTATGACCGCACCTTCTGTTAGAAGCTCTGCAACCTCTACAACCGAAACTTGTCTTGCTTCACGCAACTTTGAAAAGTGATTTAACATGTTGGCATCAAAGAGTGGAAGACCACAGTATTGGATTCTTTGTGAACTTGATGGCCTGCAGAAGTATCAAGAAAGCAATATACCACTTGGTTATGACATGTTTATCAATTGACTTCAAAACCTGTGAAGTCAGTGCTCAATATAGAGTGCAGCACACTCTTAGGAAAAGAGTCAGAGATTGTCTCCTGGCTCACTGACATTCAAAGGTTATCCTTGGTGTTTACACCAAATAAATAAAAAAAGTAGTGGAATTTACACACTGGGTTTAATTACCCTCGCCTCTCAGAAGGAGAGGTGAAGGGTATTGCAATAGTATGCGTCTGTGTGTGTGTGTGTCTGTCTGTCTGTGGTATGTGTCCTTCTGGGAGCATAACTGCTGGACCGATTTACTTCAAATTATTACACATTCACAATGTTACATGTAATCGATCCTCCTTAAATTTGGTGCTGATCGGCCACAACAGCCGACAGAGCCAACTCAAGCGCATCGTTTGGCCTTGTTTGCATAAGCCAACCGGATTCAAGTAGATCAACCGCGGACGAGTCAAATTCTAGCCTGTGGACGAAATGGTCAGATGGCATGCAATGAAATTCCATTATTTTTTTCAGCATAGATGGCGCAATAGTACGAGGGTTTGTAATCTTAGCACTATTCAGAATGTAAACTAATTTTGAAGTGTGATTGTATTTGAAGTTAGACAGTTAAAAAATATACATTACGGAACAACAATCCATGCAGCACCCACTGATATCCCACAATCATTTGGTGCTGAAGGTACATGCACAGGGTAACCAAACTTGCTGACTATTACTTGATTGGCATTTACGTTCTAAAAAGGAACAAAAACACTTGTTAATCTTTATATTCTTATTGTGTCACAATAGCAAAAAACTGTTCAGCCTTTATCATAACACTGTGGTCTGTGGTTCTGTTTTGTCACACGTCATTAGAAGAGCTGTTGATGTGTCATGTTGGCTGTGGAAACTTTAGTTCTCAGTCGATCAAGAAATTTTCATTTTGCTTATGCATTAGTACCTG